CCCCCCCCCCCCCCCCCCCCCCCCGAATCCGGAGGTTTCTGAACCCACCTTCCAGAGTGGAGGTTTTTCTCTGACCCCCGCTGATAATGTAAACATCTCCCGCCGAGGCTTTGCGTTAAACTACATGCGCACACGCGCGGTCGGACAGTCGCTATATTTCTATCAACATGGCGGCGACACTGTACTTTCTGAACTACGACTGATGGAATATATTTTTAATCTCGTAGTTAATCTACGTCAGATTCCAGGTGCTGTGACTGACATCTGTGTTGCAAGAGACACCAGTCGGATCCAGTTCTAATGTCGTTGTTTATAGAACGAGGCACGCGCACACGTCACGCTGCACTATAACCTACTAAATGTGCTAAATAACAAGTTTAATAATAATAAACAGTATTTATGTTAGTGTGCAAGATATAGTGAAGCTCTGAGCTAAATGAAGCTATCTGGACATTATGTAATTCAAATTGAAAATGATGCTAAACATATTGTGTGTTACTAAAGTTGAAAATGAAGACATCAGGTTTAATTTTTATTTATTTAACACCACAAACTATGTCACACAAACACTGATAATTAAACTGAACACACTATTAAAAACAAGTTAACTGCATTAATGAACTGGACTCTTGTTTTCATCCTGGATGTCCCACGTTGTTCATGTGGCTCGTTCAGGCTGTCACTCCTTTGATTAATGCAACTTAAAACATTCAATGGATTGAATAAAAGAACTGAGGGGAATTTAAAATAAATAGTTCATCCAACATCTCTCTCTTCGACGTCCACCTGCAGTTCATCTGGGCCGAGCCTCGTTCAGAACCGGTCCTCCTGGTGGAAGAACAGCTTCTTCTTCTTTCAGGGAAAAATAAAAACTCAGTTGGTTGTTGTGTGATCAAAGTAAACACAAGCTAACATTATTAAGAACGTTGATTTACCTGCTGTAAATCAGCTACTGATTATCACGGAGTAAAGTCCAACATTGTCGACTCGGTTCTGGTCCACTCAGCGACCGGTGTGGAGCTGTTCGATGAAGCGGTCCTGCTTGGCGTCAAATCTGTCGACTCTTATCCACAATCCAGCTTTAACTTGTTAAGTTGTGGTTAGCTGAGCTTTTAGCCCAGAGGAAAGGAGCGTGCTGAGGCAGCACGCATGCACATTAGGTGAAGGTACAAAATTCACAGCGCCATCTAATGACCCAGCATGGTAACTACAGCAAATTCGAGAGGGCGGGGGGGATTCCTCCGGATGCATGTAAACACAAAATGCGACCGTGTCAATGCGGATCTTTTCCTCTAATTAACATGCGAAAAAAACCTATGTTTCTCCCCATTGTGTCCGTGTAAATAGGGCCTAACATGGGTAGTAATCCATGTTGCTGACACTTACTGCTCCTATCCAGAATTTCACTCAGTGTGAACATGT